AAAAAAGAAAAAGAGACCATAACTTAATTTCAGTGGAGAAATTCTGTTAAAAAGTAATTTCTATATTGTCAGTTTCACGGTTATTTTTAATTCATAAATTTGTTTCCTCTCTTTCTTTTAGCTAGTCTCTGATGAAAAGCAATTACAGCAAATAAAGCTGTGTTAGAATTCAAATGAAATTCAGTTTAACATCAGAAGCTTTCTGGCCTTTTGGCTTAAATGATGTCATTTAAGCCATGTGGTTTGGCCATTGTTGAAGTCTAGGACACAGCCTGTTCCGACCTTGTCATAATACCACCACCAGTGGGTGCCAATTTCCCTGGTTTTGCTTAAGAAACATTATCCTTTCCGGTGAAAATTCCAGAATCATGCATTTCTTTACCTGAGAGATGGCAGTGTTGTGTACTCACCAGCAGAGGGCGGCTTAGTCTTCAGAAAAGAAATGAACATGAAAGTTTCAACCCTCTGACATGTGGGTTCAGCTTTTTTTTTTTTCTTTGTTCAGTATACTCTCTTATTTCTGCTTTTTTCCCTTTCTCTTCTACTTTTTCACTTCAGAATTCTGGTCTCTCAGTGCGTAAACTGAAGTAATTTCTTCAATTCTACTTTTCTCTGCCCCAGGCTTAAGACAGAGCTAGGGAGCCCAGTGAAGCCTTTTCTTTCATAAATTAACAGTTAGGCATTTGTGCATAAATGCTACCTGTGAACTAGGTGTTTTAAAATAATTTGCAGAATGTACTTCTCTGGTCTTTCAGGTTACTTGTATAACTATGTACTTGGTTGAACTTGTAATTCTTACTGACAACAGTCCTGCTGTTTTCCAGTAAAGTTCGTGATCCTCGGGCCAATTTTGACCAGTCCCTGCGTGTACTGAAACATGCCAAGAAGGTTCAGCCTGATGTTATTTCTAAAACATCTATAATGTTGGGTTTAGGCGAGAATGATGAGCAAGTATATGCAACAATGAAAGGTAAAGAAATTGAAAAATGAAAAAAATCTTTCCCATGTAATTTGAGTAATAGCAGGAACCCACTCACTTCCAAGGCCCTTCTAAGAACAAAAAGTATATGGTTATAAACGGCAGCATAAAAAGGAAACAAACTTTCACATGTATCCCCAAATCTAGAAAAAAAAAAAAGGACAGGAAATAGATTTTCTTAGAATTTCATGGAGTGATACACATGAAGCTCAGGATGCAATATTTGTATCCCATTTTATTCCCCATCCTTGCAGCCACTGAAAGCATGATTTCATTCACTTTTCTCATTCTATTATTGGACACTTTTGGAGAGCCAGCCAGGTACCAGGAACTGCCAATTCATAGATGAATGAAACCAATCCAGGCCTCTGAGAAACAGCTTACTTATAACGTTGTCACGTAACATGCTGTGCTTTGGACTTTGCTGAACCTTAGTCCCATAAATCCATTTGCTTTGTGATTCTTAGGCTTCTTAAACTTTGAAATTTAAAAGTTTTAATTTTAGCTGAGGATCCTTGGACTACTTGTAGTTATTTAGGGGTTCAAAGAGTAGTAAATACATATAGTAATTAAGAGCTGCTGTTTACCACATTGCATACAGTTTGTTATTAGAAAGATTCTGATGTTACAGTTTAAGTCACAGCCCCCATAGCATATCTTGTGCATTGAATAAAAGCCTAATGCAACATATTTGGTCTATAATATACGTGTATTTGGGTTTTTGCACATACCAGTTCCCTTACCTTTTCTGCCTAACAGACTCCTACTCTAAAGCACCCTCCACTACTATTTTAGCATTTATTCCATAGTATTAGAGGTATTTATCCTTGTATCTATCAGCCCCACATGACTGTCTTAATTATTATTATTTTCAGTCCTTACCCCCTTACCTGGCACATAATACTTTTGAATGAATACATGTTGTCTTATTCCCCAGCATGTGGATTACGGACTGGCATAAAGTTCACACAGTTTTTAAATATTCCTCAGGAAAATTATGCTTAGATCTGCAATTAAAGTATTTGCTACTATAATTTGTGCTTTTCTTCCTACAGCACTTCGTGAGGCAGATGTAGACTGCTTGACTTTAGGACAATATATGCAGCCAACAAGGCGTCACCTTAAGGTACACGTATCTTCATTTGCCGAATATTTCTTGTTAATCTGAATTAAATCTTCTCTGTCCACAAGTAAAATTAAGAAAATGCTGGATTTTCAGTATAATACTCCATGTATAGTTGTCCCTTGAACAATGCAGGGGTTAGGGATGCCAAACCCCTGCACAATCAAAAATCCAAATTTTTTTTTTTTTAGACATGGAGCCTCGCTCTGTCGCCTAGGCTGGAGTGCAGTGGTGCAATCTCAGCTCACTGCAACCTCCGCCTCCCGGTTCAAGTGATTCTCATGCCTCAGCCTCTGAGTACCTGGGATTACAGGTGCCTACCACCATGCCTGGCTAATTTTTTGTATTTTTAGTAGAGACAGGATTTCGCCATGTTGCCTAGGCTGGTCTCGAACTGCTGAGATCAGGCAGTCCGCCTGCCTCAGTCTCCCAAAGTGCTAGGATTACAGGTGTGAGCCACTGTGCCCAGCCCATTGTATAGCTTTTGACTCCCCAAAAAACATAACTACCAATAGCCTCCTGTTGATCAGAATATTACATGTATTTTATATATGTGTACATATATATGTATATACACACTTATTCTTAAAGTGAGCTAGAGAAAATAAAATGTTTTTTTTAAGAAAATCATAAGAGAAAATATATTTACTAGTCATTAAGTGGAAGTGGACCATCATAAAGGTCTTCATCCTCATCATCTTCATGTGGATCAGATGGATGGAGGCTGAGGAGGAGGGGGAAGAGGAATAGTTGGTCTTGCTGTCTCAGCAGTGGCAGAAATGGAAGAAAATCCTTGTAAAAGTGGGCCCATGCAGTTTAAACCCATGTTGTTCAAGGGTCAACTGAATGCTTACAAGTGCCAGTTTCCATTTTATTATCTCATAAATCAGCTACACTGGCACATATTTGCTGCCTCCCCCATTCTCTCCACAAATTTTACAACTCAAGTAAACTTAGAATTTAAAAGTTGGGAAATTGCCCTCATTTACACTTGATTATTGTGTAACTTGCTTTAGTTATGTTAGAGCCAGAGGTGAAGTAAGAATAAGAAACCATTCTTTCTATCATGGACATTTATCCGTTCACTCAAGAAACCTGGGTTGAGTGGTGACCATGTGCCAGTCACAGTGCTAAGCGGAAGATACCAGTTGAGTAAGACAGCCTTGTCCTCAAGCATCGGATAGGCCTGAGTAATTCTTGAATTTACCTGTTAATCAATGACGGAAAAATGTAGATAAATAATCTCTATAGATAATCTCTTCTTTCTCTGTTCTTTGGCATAGCCAGTGTAGCACAAAATTGATGTTTCCCTGCCTCTGTAATTCCCTGTATTTACATCCAATAGAGTGGCCAATAAGTAACCAGTAAACACATAGAGAGGAGGGAGAGGACGAAAACCTGGGGATGGGGGCAAAATAAATTATGCAGTGAAAAGCATTATGCATACTTGGGTATAGACTTCCTGCAGAATCAAAGAGGAATTCTAAAATCTGATTGAAGTAATTATTTAAATCTAGGTTGAAGAATATGTTACTCCTGAAAAATTCAAATACTGGGAAAAAGTAGGAAATGAACTTGGATTTCATTATACCGCAAGTGGCCCTTTGGTGCGTTCCTCATATAAAGCAGGTAAGTTAGATTGCGGGGTGTTGTTTTATTTAGGCCACTAACTTTCTACAAGGAGTGCTACCACAAATCACCAAAACTCTTGACAAATTCTAATAGCTTTGGTAGTCTTGGTAGGGGGCTAGGGTTTTTTCTGGAACAACCTTAGGAGCTTTGTTCCATGGGGATCATATTTAGGAAAGGTTTCTCTTAATTCTTTGTTTCTTAAACAAATTCAGCTCCCTGCTTTATAACTCAGCTACTATAGTAAAAGCAGAAACAATTAGTTCATTAATTTATTCTATGTGTGGATTTCTTTAGCAGATTATTCAGAGATGATAGAGCATGTCAAGCATCTAATAGGGTTTTCTGAGAAATACATACTCATTTGAAAAGGATGCCAACTGCATCTCCAGACTCCCAAATTCAATCAGTTTAAGCACTGAAAAGTATCTATTTGATGGCATTGCTTGCATCATTAAATTTCTTTGTATTATTTCCCCAGAGGCAACTGAAAAATGTCCATCAGATTATTTTTCTCCATAGAAACGTTTAGTGGTTTTACTAGCTACATGTAGTGCAATTTTTTTTTTTACCTTTGGAATTTCAGCTCCCCCCCGCCTTTTTTTTTTTTAAGACGGAGTTTTGCTCTTGTCATCCAGGCTGAGTGCAGTGGTATGATCTCAGCTTACTGCAACCTCCGCCTCCTGGTTTCAAGCAATTCTCCTGCCTCAGCCTCCTGAGTAGCTGGGATTATAGGTGTCTGCCACCATGCCTGGCTAATTTTTGTATTTTTAATAGAGACGGGGTTTCACCATGTTGGCCTGGCTGGTCTTGAACTCCTGACCTCATGATACGCCCATTTCAGCCTCCCAAAATTCTGGGATTACAGGCGTGGCCTTCAGCTCTTATTTTAATCAATAGTTTGAATTGATTTATGAAAATAAAATCATTTTCCAAGGGATAAAAAGTCATGTGATAATGATTGTCAGAGGATCCATAAAAACATATCTGAAGACTGAATTTAATCTGGAAAGTGTTTATGATGTCCCTGTCAGTTGGACTTAACAATTATAATTATTAAGAATAAATAGGCCAGGCAAGGTGGTTCATGCCTATAATCCCAGCACTTTGGAAGGCCACGGCCAGAGGATTACTTGAGCCTAGGAGCTGAAGGCTACAGTGAGCTATCATTGTGTCACTACAACTCCAGCCTGGGTGACAGAGCAAGACACTGTCTTAAGGGCCGGGCATGTGGCTCACGCCTATAATCCCAGCACTTTGGGAGGCCGAGGCGGGTGGATCACTAGGTCAAGAGATCGAGACCATCCTGGTCAATATGCTGAAACCCCGTCTCTACTAAAAATACAAAAACTAGCTGGGCATGTTGGCGCAGCCTGTAGTCCCAGCTACTCAGGAGGCTGAGGTAGGAGAATTGCTTGAACCCAGGAGGCAGAGATTGCGGTGAGCCGAGATCATGCCAATGCACTCCAGCCTGGGTAACAAGAGCGAAACTCCATCTCAAAAAAAAAAAAAAAAAACCGACACCGTCTCAAAATAAAAATCAAATGGGCTGGGTGCAGTGACTCACGCCTGTAATCCCAGCACTTTAGGAGCCCAAGGCGGGTGGATCACAAGGTCAGGAGTTCAAGATTAGCCTGACCAACATGGAGAAACCCTGTCTTTACTGAAAATACAAAAATTAGCCAGGCATGATGGCGTGCACCTGTAATTCCAGCTACAAAGGAGGCTGAGGCAGGAGAATTGCTTGAATGCAGGAGGCAGAGGTAGCAGTGAGCCAAGATCTCTCCATTGCATTCCAGCCTGGCAACAAGAGCAAAACTCTGTCTCAAAAAAAATAAAATGAAAAAAAGAAACAGCTGGGCCAGCTGTGGTGGTGTGTGCCTATAGTCCCACCTTCTTGGGAAACTGAGGCAGAAGGATCGCCTGGACCCAGGAGTTCAAATCTGGCCTGAGCAACATAGTGAGAACTCATCTCTTTAAAAGTAAAATAGGTATTTTAAAAATATGTATCTAAAGTGATGATGTTTTAAATGATTGCTTCATATGTTGGGGTCTGAATCTTAAATATGTTTAAATTAGACAAATTCTATTTGAAAAAATTAATGCTCCAGTATTAGTAATATTCAGTATGTTCTTATAAAGACATTTAAGGCTGGGTGCAGTGGCTCATGCTTGTAATCCTAGCACTTTGGGAGGCCAAGGCAGGTGGATCACTTAAGCCCAGGAGTACAAGACCAGCCTGGGCAACATGGCAAAACCCTTTCTTTACAAAAATACAAAAATTAGCCAGGTGGCTGCTTTGATGAATGGTGGTGGGTGCCTTTAGTCCTAGCTACTCAGAAGGCTGAGGTAGGAGGATCACCTGATCCAAGGAGGTTGAGGTTGCAGTGAGCTGTGATCATGCCACTGCACTTCAGCCTGGGTGACAGAATGAGACCCTGTCTCAAAAATAAATAAAGTAAAAACAGTAATTTAAAACATTTTAATGAACTAATAGCTTATTGTAGTTTGAAACCCAATAATTTGACTCAGCACTGACTAGACAGGGTGTGGGGACTTTGAAAACTAATAATTGTAAGTGATTTAGTCTTCAGGCAGCACTGCTGGCAGGCTAAGTACATATGAAGGATAGAACCACTATCAGCTTCTAGAAAGATTAGAGTAATATCCTTTGAAAGGAGTTTTTATATTCTTTTTTAAAAGAAAAAATTCTAACATATAAAAAGAAGTAAATTATGAACTTTTTGATGCTTTTTAAATTACCAGGAAAAGATCAAATTCTGGTACATGATGAGCATTAGACTCAAATGATGGATTAGGGTCTGGTAAAGTTGGTGCTACTCCTACGACATTTGGAGGAGGTATGGAGCAGCATGATTACTTGGCTGGGTTATGAGCCTTGAGATTTGCGGAGATTATGTGTAGACATGCTCATCACAGTTCTCCTCATATGTAAGATGGCAAAGAGTAGTTAATCAGACTCCTCACAAAATCAGGCCTCTAGTGCTGTGCTCTACCAATAAGCATTGAGCCATGCCATAAGAGTGATAGACTAAATGGAACACTAATGGCCAAAAAAGAGAATGTGCCCTCTAAGCTGCTAACTTATTGCGTAGGCACAACTCGGGCGGTGGGGAGAAAGCCCATTACAGATGAAGAGCTCTTGCTTCCCTCCAGGGGAATAAGCTAAAGAGATTCCATCAGATGAGTGTGCTCAACTGCAACAAGGTCTGTTTTATAAACATCAGATCCAGCCTAATAATGTAGCAAAATTGCTCTCGGAAATGAATTTTGCCAACAGCAATATTTTGACAGTGATGAGGAATAGATAGTGCACATAAAATGGAATAAATGTGCAGACCCATAGATACAGTAGGGTCACCGTTTGTAATATTGGGTTACTAGAAAGAATAATAGAAGAGACTGTAGTCATTATTACTGGGGAGAAGGACCAAGGATATTTAGGTTAGAAAAATATTGCCATTGGCCGGGCGCGGTGGCTCAAGCCTGTAATCCCAGCACTTTGGGAGGCCGAGGCGGGTGGATCACGAGGTCAAGAGATCGAGACCATCCTGGTCAACATGGTGAAACCCCGTCTCTA